GTTAGACAAACAAAGAAAAATAAAGAAAGAAGAGAAAACAGAATAATAGAATGTTTTATTAGTTGACAAGAAACTGAAGAGGAAAAATAAATAAATATATATTTTTCTTTCTAATTTCTTCCCTCATATTTTCTTTACACTGTACGAGACAAAGGTAGAGGCAAATCCCACGAATGGATGAAACGAAGCCCGACCAAACAATGTTATCGAAGGCCAAACATGTCGTAAAGTGAGTCATAATTTGGTCAAAAGGTGAAACCCTATATTGCCCAAATTCAGGACCCTGTGTAAAGTTAAGTTCGCCAAGATACACTGCTGGACCTCTTAAAATGAACCCATTGCTAAAGAAAATAAGATGAATCTATGAATCTTAAATTAAAATTTTTATTTTGACCAAACTTGTGTTTTGAAGATGTATTTTAAAAAAAGAATTATCTGACTAAATCTTAAAAAAAAATCAGTTTAATAAGAGGAAGATATATTATGATTTTTACGAAATTTGTAATTTATATCAATTTTTTAATATATCTCTTATATTGAGAGAAAAAATGATTTAATATTAATTTGATAATGAATTGATTAATAAGAAAAGGATTGTACATTTATATATTATAATTTTTATTATATATCTAATTGATTTAAGATTTTTTAGTATATTCTTTAGATAATCTAATATTAATTTGATAACAAATAATTTATTATATAATTGTTAACAGTTAATATTTTAATAATCACTATCAGTTAATATTTTAATATTAATAAAGTTAACATTGGGATTATTTTATTTTTTTAATTTTACAAAATCAATATGATAATTATATGCAGTTTTTTTATATTTGAAAATTAGATCTACCGGTTTATTATTTTTAAATAATAAAATTTTAATTAAATCGCAAGATAAATTAAATAAACTTTTAATCTGAATCGATTTTAATAAAACTATATATCAAAATTTTAATTTTTTTAAATATAACTTTCTTTTATAAAAATATAATAGTTTTTTTTCTTTATATCACATTACTCATATTAATTTAAAATAATAGTTATTTTATTATATTTTCATCTTAATTTAATTATTATTATTTTTTATTTTTTATTATATTTTTTATTTATAATTTTCATTATAATTAAGAATGATTATGAAAATTTTTATTATTTTTCTTTCTTTTATAAAAGAATGATTATTATTAATAAAAATTTTGAACCTGTATTTACCAGTAGATGAATTTTAAAAACATTTATAATACTCATTATTTACATTATTATATATATTTTTTAATATAGTATTTTGGATAGCATATTTTTTTTCTTTGATAATCTTGTAAATAATTCTTCCATCGTTATAAATGGAACTAATAAAATTGGCCAACCCTCTAATCATGCTCTATATATAGGTATGATAATGAGACATTAAATATAATGATCAATAGCCATAATAATTTATTTGTGTAATTTTCTTAATTAATATCCTAATCACATCAATCCTAATATACCTCACCCCACACCAAGAGGTATTTAGGTTTCTTCTTCTTTGCTCTCCTTTTCTTTCTTCCTTAATTGACTTTTATACAATATAATCATTTGTAGATTGTCATTCAATCACACCATCACATATGAAATTATTCTTCCTCAATCAATACTTCTTAATTAACTTAAATTATAAGTTTGTGATTACATTAATGTTCATATATATATATATATATATATATATATATTACTCAGATAGAATAATATCATTTCCAAGTAAGACATTACAAAAATTGTATTTAATATGGATTATTTTTTTACATTTTCAACTATTTATCATGAGTATTATTACAGTTGGATTTTTTTTTCTAATAAAATTAGTGTGGTTCATAATTATCGACGATTTTGTCTAAAACCAATGAAGCCAAAATTTACCCATAGTTCACAAAATCATAGTTACTATTTCAAACTACGGTAAATACAGGTGAAATTACCCACTGTTCCCATGAATGAAAACTTGTTTAAAGAAATCATTAAGTAAAGTAGTATTTTGCTTGAAACAATTTTTTATTGAAAACATTTTAAGTGTTGTTTATTTTTTTTGTTAATTAATAATCAAACAATTTATAAATATATAAATAAAAAATAAATGAGAAGAAAGAAAATATATTTTTTTCTTTTTTTAATAATTTTTTTATTAAAACAAAATTAATTATAATATTATACAATAAATTTATATTTTATATTTTTAAAATTATTTCTCACAGTAAAAAATATAAAATATAAATTTAATAAACCACATCATATTTAAATAATTCTCAATCAATTTTGTTTTAATATAAATCTTTTCAAGAAACTTTAACAAATTTTATTTACTTATTTATTTATTTCTTATGTTGTTTATTTAAGATTTGTTTTTTTAAAAACAGAGCATCGTATCATTTATAATTTTTTTCAATAAAAAGTTATTTCAAATAATTAAGATTTAAGAATTCATTTGAGAGATAATTTTCAATTATTAATGGAATTTAAAACACTTTTTAATATATATATATATATATATATATATATATATATATATTAATTGACATTTTATTTGAATGATTAATAAAACATTTTAATGAGACAAATTTCTTATGAAGTTATAAGTTTTATGTATATGTAGTTGGTTTTGTTTAAGGATGTTTTTGTATATTTTTTTAATTTTTAAAAATTAAAACGCTTATTCATAAATGTTTTCTGAAAATAGTTTTAAAAAAATTTAATTTGCATTAATAGTATTTGTACTTTCATAAATAATTACATCAGTCCTTATTATCATAAAGTTATTAAAAATGATTTTCAATTTTCCATTTCATTGTGAATGTTAGTTTCTTTTGTTTAAGATATTTTTCAAAGTAGTATTATTAAATAATTTTTGTAATTAATTTTTAAAATTAATCTATAAAATTATTTTAAAAATAAAATAAGCCTTAGATTTTATGTAGTGACATCCCCGTATAATATTTTTTACATCAATTGTTAAGATGATGTGATGGTAGGAAGGGTAAGGGCCTCCACACATCGGTCTCCAAACTGCACACAAAGGACGAACCATTAAAGGACTCATCATGTGCATCTCATTTTCGTTTGTTTTTCATCAAACACATGATTCATCTTTCTTATGTTGTCGACCGACACAATCAAAAAATGATTCTCTCAAATACAAAAGTAAAAATTAAATCTTTAAAAGACACTGAAGAGTTGTGAAACTACTACATTTGTTCTTGTTCTGTGTCACGATTTCAACCTTTTCACCTCGTCCTAAAGTAGTAGTGTATTACTTTTTTGGTGTGTTTTACTTTTCGTGTTACTTCATAAGTCACTTCTATCTTGTACTTTGCTTCACTCTTTTGCATTTACATTTTTTTTTTCTTCAAATCATTCCGAATAAAAAGTATTACCAGTTTTGCATTTTGTTCCACTTTTTTTTTTTATTTCATGTTAAATTCATCCTTATCAATATGCCATTTTTTTAATTGTTGGGGCCTTCTAAAAGAATAGTTAAATCTTTTGGTCAATGGTCTATGTCTACAAATAAGTATTATTTGTCCCATCATGGCCTTCAGATGGACTATGTGCTGAATTTTTAAGAGTAGAAGAAGGAGGTTTTAAAATTGCTTGTTTTATACTTTACATGAATTTCAAGAGAGGTGTGCAATTAATGAATATATAGAAAGTGAAAGTTAAACGAATTAAACAATTGAATCAAAATTATAATCTTTTTATAAAGATATTAATGACATCACAGAAGCAATCAAGAAAGGAAATTTAGTAGATAGAAATAACTAGAAAGATGTGAGAAGTAAGTTGGAAGCAAGATTGGAAGATGATATTTGGAAGCCATGCTTTGCTAAACCATCTCTTACGATTGTCTCTCTCAACCCTTTCTGGTGTCTAACATTTCAAGCCATATTCATGAACCTCTTCATATCACTACTTACTATTTAGTTGCGTTTTTTGGATTTTTTTAAACAATGATTAATTCAGTGGAATTAGCTTGTTTGGTGCTATCTATATAATACAACTATTCTTATCTGAAATATTTTAAGGTGAAGAGCATGTATCTCAAACAACTATTGTCGTTAGTTGTATATGATTAACCTTCTACATGATGTGATAATGTCTATGCATGCACTATAAATGTCTGAGCATACAAATTTTTAGTTTAATTCTTGCTTTCAATGCACTGAGAATTTTAGTCCCAATTTGATTGAATATATTTATTTGTCAGCTTCAAGAATAAATACATGGTTTAGTGCACTTGTTAGTGGCGGTTAATTACACCGATATTTTCAATCTCTTAGCTCCTATATCTTCCATACTAATTTATCTCATTTCTTTTTACATTTATTATCTCCTCCTCATATCTTTAAATGTTTATTTTTTTCTCACATACCACTCCCTTATTTAATATTCCACTACCATGGTGTGATTAGATTTCAAAGGAGCATTTTAAATCTATATATACTTTTTAAATCTATTATAGTTTTTAGAAACTAAAATAAATTAAAATAAGCATTTATAAAAACTAAAATAGATTATATAAATTATTATAAGAGAATTTAATTTTTAATCCGAGTAAAAATCAAAATTAAAAACAGATACAGTTAAAAAAAAAAATCAAAGACAAGAATCGGTAACACAAAACCCGTCCCTATCCCGTCCGTTGCCATCCCTATCTTTGATACTTTGCTTTTGCATAGGATACGACCTCATGATTTTTCTCATCTTCAATACTTCCTCTCCTTATGAATATTCTAATAAATATAATTACAAAAGCAAAATACTATGTTGTGTTTTTTTTTTTCTTTTTCATTTTTCAGAAGTTTATTTTATAAAGTACATTTTTATATCATTATTAAATTTTTATGACATTAAGTATGTGTCAGAATTTTGTGCTCTTATCTCTCTACCCTTAGTTGAGTGAGTGTATAGAGGGTGAGATAAGAGACAAGGTTTTCTAATATAAAAAAGCAATTGATAGAGATGGAATGCAAGAGAAGAAAACCCAATCTAACTGCATAGTAGTCTCACCTTGGATCTCTCACAATCATGGCAACCGGTTGGAGAAGAGCCTTTTGCACCAGCGACCCAGAATCCACAATGCACTCCAAACACACAACCCAAACCCCCACTCCTTCGCCCTCGCCCTCGCCCTCGCCCGGAACCAGCGTCAGATTCGGCTTCCTGTCCTTACAGTCACTGCACCACCACCACCACCACCACCAACAACAACAACAACAACCTCTCTCTTCTCCTCTTTCCCCTAAACTCAACCTCTCTCTCTTCAAAAACAGCTTCAAATTCAGAGTAAGCAACCTTCTCCTATTTATATTCCGAAATTCTTCCGTTCATTTCTATTCATCACACTCATTTATAATTATTATTATTCTGAAATAACAGAGTAATTGCGGAATCTGTTCGAATAGAGTGAAAACGGGACAGGGAACGGCCGTTTACACTGCAGAGTGCGGTCACGCGTTTCATTTCTCTTGCGTCGTTTGCCATGCACGCACCCACGTTTGCCCCGTCTGTGATGCCACGTGGAACGACGTCCCGTTCCAACAAAACCACGCCCTCGTTCCCACCGTCCCAATTGAAAAACAGAAACAACCTCATTATTCTGATTCGGTAACTTCCTACGACGACGACGAGCCTCTTCCTTCTTCTCTGACGTCCTCCACGCAAATCGTTCCAATCCCCGAAGCCGACGAGAACACCGAAGAAGATGAAGAAGAAAATCACGACGTAATGGAGTTCCCTGGCTTTTTCGTCCATCCAAATCCTCAATCGTCGTTACGACAACACAACGCTGAGTCAAAAACGGTTCGAGTGAAGCTCATGTCGGAGTGCGCGGTCATATCAGTTTCTCAAAGCGTCGAAACTCGTGCTTTGGTTCTACGAGTCAAGGCTCCTCCCCCGTCGCCGCTGCCGCGGCGACTGCTACCAATGGATCTCGTGGCGGTGCTTGACGTTAGCAACGGCATGAACGGCGCTAAGCTTCACATGTTAAAGCGCGCGATGCGATTGGTTGTATCCTCTCTCGGCGCGGCTGACCGGCTCGCCGTCGTGGCCTTCTCGGCTGATTCCAAACGGTTGTTACCTCTGCGCAGAATGACGGCTCAGGGACAGCGCGCGGCTCGGCGCATGGTGGATCGGCTCATCTGTGGTCAAGGAAACAGCGTTGTTCGTGAAGTGGCGATGAAGAAGGCCTCGAAGGTTCTCGAAGATCGTAGAGAGAGAAACCCTCTCGCGAGGATCTTGCTTCTATCGGACGGTCACGACAACAACACGAACAAAAATCAACGGAGATGCTTGAGCCGCGTGTCGTCCACCCGGTTCGACTTTGTCGAAGTTCCGGTTCATTCGTTTGGGTTCGAGATGAAAAAGACCGGTTTAACACACCAACGGTTAGATGATGAGTTTACACAATACGTTAACAGAACATTAAGTGTGACGGTGCAGGATTTGAGAATTCAGCTTGGCTTCTCGGCGCCCGCTGAAATACGAGCCGTTTATTCATGCAGTGGGGGACCCACTGCACTGAGCGCCAACGCGGCTCGGCTTGGTGATTTATACGGCGAAGAAGAGAAGGAGTTGTTGGTGGAGGTTCGAGTACCCACGTCAGCGTTCGGGACCCACCACGTGATGACAGTGCGGTGTTTCAACAAAGACCCAGCATCTCAAAAATTCGTGTACGGTGCGCAACACGCGTTTACGGTGGTGCCGCCTAAGAGTTTTTCACTCTGTGGCGGTAGGGTTGAGCGGCTGAGAAATGTGTTTATAACGAGCCGAGCCGTAGCCGAGTCCCGGAGGCTGGCGAAGCATAACGAGTTTTTGAGCGCTCATCATTTACTTTCTTCTGCACGCGCGCTTTTGGCGCAGTTCGGCTCGGCTGAGGAGTACGTACGCAGCTTGGATGCCGAACTTGGGGAGCTTCAATGGCGGAGGCAGCACCGGGAGACGGTGGGGACGGGGAGGAGGAGTGAACGTGAGGTGAGGTTGGTGAATGATTGCGGCGAAGCGTGGACGCCAACATCAGCTTGGAGAGCCGCTGAGAAGCTGGCTAAAATGGCTAGGATGAAGAAGTCGTTGAATAAAGTTAGCGACTTGCACGGCTTCGAGAATGCTAGGTTTTGATAAATAATGCTTAGTTTTTGTTTTATGTTTTAAAAAAATAATGTTGGTTCCCCAAAATGTATAAATAAAATTAAGTGTGTAGTTGTAGTTACTAGAATCATGAGGCTTCTAGGAAAATTAGTGAAGGAAGGGTTTGGAAGAATATATTGTGTATAGTGTGGAGCAAGGAAAATAGTAAATATTAAGAACTTTTTTCATTGCATCAATCAACACTGAGTACTTGGTTGAATTTGAAGCCATTAATCCCTTTTTGAAATCAGAATTCAAACGATGCATATTGATATGGGATGGAGATTTTACGACGCGGAATATGTATCATATGACTTTTGAATGTGCAACAAAATAACGATTTATGTTGTCCTCTTTTATTATTATTATTAGGAATAAGAGTTAGGGTTTTGGAGAAGGAACATTTTTTGTAGTGGGGCTAATGATGAAGGATCGGACTTTGAATGTGGGTAAAAAGCTTAAAATGATGTTTTGGTTGAAAAATATGGCAGAGGACAGCACATACAATGGAGTGGGTTGGACGAATAATGATGAACAAATGATTACATTAAAATAATAACAGTTGGATTTTTTTTCTTTTCTTGAATTCCTTATCTTAACCATTTTCCGATACATTGCAATCATTAGAGATATAATTGTTTGCTACAAGCTAGGTATGGTAAAAGGAAAAAGGCTTCACTTATCTTTGGGAATAAAATTCCCTACAGCAGCGCCACTTTGCCATACTTTCTTTTCTTTTTACTTTTCTTTGAATATACTCTGCTCAATATATTCTTTTTATTCCTTCGAATTTATAAACTTTTTAACGAATTTCTCTATTTTTTTCTATTAATAAATAATATATATAGTACACTACCAGAACAAAGTAACCAAGCAATCTATTCATGTGATGAATAAAATAAGTAAGGTGTTTGCCTTCTCTAAATAAAATATATACATAATTTGAAGAATATAAAACACGACAAACAAATTTAACCGCTATATAGTTTATATTAAAACTAAAAAGATATTTAACTCAATTTTATATATTAATTTATAAGATAAGATGGAGTTAAATACTTTAAGAATAATTTGATATCAAATATTTAAACTGAATATTTATACGAGTGAAGTTGATAGACAAATTTTACTAAAATAGATTTTAATATTATATTAGAAATAACAAAATATTTATATATTAATATTATTATAAGTTATCGTATGTTTAATCTGTGTAAAATCTTCTATTAATTATACTTATAATTTAAATATCTGGATCCATGCCATATTAAGAATCAGACTATTTTAAGGAACAACTTAATCACTTAATATCAGGAAAAAAAATGATTGAAATGAAACGTGATGCACGTAAATAGCCGCAAAGTGCCTCACAAATCACATGGCTTTTACATTTATAGGTAGATATGATGAAGAATTGAAGAAGACGAGTGTAAAGGGTTATCATAAATGCGATGTTTGATTACTCATATAATTTGTCCTCACAATTCAATTCAAAATCGTTCTCTTTGAACAGCCTCTGTCAGGTACCAAGCTTTGACAAGTATAGCAAGATAAATAATCTTTAACTTCTTCTTAGCCACGTTTGTATGTATATATATATATATATATATATATATATATATATATATATATATATATATATATATATATATATATATATGATGATAAGAAGTAGCTAGGGATGATATTCAGAGATGTGGAACCCAACACAGCAATGTCTCAGTTGTCGAATCCATCAATATCTGATACCATAACCATGTGTTCTTGGGGTGTTATATGATTTTTTTGTTGGTAGAGTTAATCACTGGCCACCCCTCTGCAAATATGTACTATAGTTGGACTCAGTATCAGTGGTTGCCACTTTATTGCATCAAACAAACACTTTCATAACTTTTTATTTCAGACATATCTGAGTTTAAGTTCTGATCTAAATCTGTTAAAAATAAATTACTGTATACATTTTGAGTTTTGACAACTTTTTATTTAAGGATGCTTATTTTGAGCATTTTATGTTTCCACTTAAATAAAATCAGAAACACAAAGTTGATAATACTTTATTAAACATTAAAAATATATAGTTTTAAATATTTTAAAAATAATTATTTTTTATTTTGTTTTATTTTATTTGTACTCAACACAACTAAACTAAAATAGAGTTTATCACTACTATCATTGTTAACCAAATCATCGCTTTATCTTAAAATTTGAAGGGTCTTCTTCTTTGACTTTTGAGTTTCTAGTGTTCAAGTAATTAGTTATCAATTTCTATTCAGAGACTGGTTGGTGTTATGTCACGTTTTTAATTTTCAGAAAAATACTTAATATGTGATTCTAAGATTGAGAATAACTAAAGGTGGAGGTGATGCATGTAGATAAGATAGCAGGAAAATTGGTGAGTAATAACAAGAGTTATAAATGAGAAGAAGTTATCTAAAAATTCAAACAAAATTTTTAGATTTTAGAAAATTAAAAAGTAAATTTTTATCCAAATCAAACATCTCCTCGATGTGTGTTTTCCTTTGTTTCCAAGGGAAAGTGTGATTTATGATAAGAAACATACTTAATAATAATAATGATGATAATTAATTTTAAAGTTTCTCTCACATTAACTATGTACACATTAAATTGAAATTATTTTATGTTTTGTTTAAATATTGATAAGGATACAAATTAAGGTGGGTCTCATTTACATTCTTTTTTTAATATTTTTATAACCTTATCTTTAAGGCAATTATAAATTGTTTCTTATCACATTATATTTATCAAGTTATAATAAAATATTAATATATTAGACGTTATTTAATATAAAATAATCAACTATTTGAAATATATCAATTAGTAATTTAGTATCCTATATTTATTTTAATTAAATTTATCAGTGTTTTAAAAAATTGATTCTAATTCTATTTGAGATCATTTGATAAAAAATAAGCATATATATATATATATATATATATATATATATATATATATATATATATATATATATATATATATAATCATTAATGATAAAACATCAACTACAATCTGTAATCATTAATAGATAGAGGAGAAGAAAATAAAAAAAATCAAAATATCAATTAATTAATCTAAAATAAATAAGTAAACAGTGTAGAAGTATAAAAATCATATGACAAATTTATTTAAAAAAAAATCATTTTCTCCTGAAAACAATATAAAATGATTGGTAAGGTGAAACCATTTGGAACATTAAGCACGATTAAGATTTAAATAAATAGCTTTAACACTTTTTACCATGTATGATGTATCACACATAGTGCATTTTTCCATTTCAAAAGGAACCCTTTTCAATGGGTGAGTCATACACTTTTTCCCCATAACCAGTTGGAAAAAAAAAAATGGAGGATATTTCCACTACTTTCCACTTTGAGGACAAGATGGTTTTCACAAAGGAAGGAAATGATAATGAGGTTCCATCTATATTGGGCCTCAAGATGCACAACCACAGGCCACCAATATTGACAGGCCCAATAGGAAGACCTCCAAGCCCATATGCTTCCAAGAGTCAAGACTGATCTGGTAGAATACTCAATTTGCTATAATATTAGATATATAGGGTTGTTTTAATCCAAAGAAATAAGAATAAAAGATTAAATCAATTTATGCATGGTTTAAAAAACACATTTTTGAAGAAATTCCAAAAAATAACTTCTAAAATCATTTACTAATTGATAAGCTAATTTTAATTATTAAAAATTTCATTTTTGTTTTTTAGTGTTTAGGGAGAAGTTTCTCCAAATAAACCATTATTTTGATATGGTAGATTTATTGTTACAATACTATAATCAAGTTTATTATTTTTATAGTTGATTCTTCTTATTGCAGTTATGTTATTATAGTTGTTTTTTCTTATTGCAGTTATGTTATTATGCTTTTTCTTTTATGGGGGTATCCAATTGTATTGGAATGTCCTATATAAACCTTGAATGGAACGAATAAAGGAGGAAGAATTTATGAAAAAAATATTCTTCTATAAAGGTTATTTGGCCTTTGTTGGATCTTTCGAGAGAGATTCACAGAAGAGAAACACATCAATGAGACATGAGTCCAAGTTACTATAAGGATCCATTCTCAACCCAAAATCTTAAGGTATTAGGTCATATTTCCTTTTATGTTGTTTAAGTTTCTCATTCTTATTATGTGAAACTTAACTCATGTTTGGATACCCAACAACCTCAACTTATTATGTGAATTAGGACAGAATTTACAAAATTTGTGAATATTATTATACTTGCCAAACAGATTTATAATGGAGAGAAACATCTTTATTCGATCTTCATCTAGAAAACACACGAATTAGACAACCAGAGTGCCAAAAAAACTAGCATAAAGAAAAATACAAATCAATCTTGGCTTGTATAAAACACAATATCAGAAGACAAATTTTAGCTTAGATTATTTCGTGATAGATACAAAGCTCACCATAATAGTATTGTACATAAACCTCTATTTTGTATAATGAACAAATTTTAGGCATAGAGGCAAAGGACTATAAAGAAAACCTTGTAAACACCCGACCTCAAAGTTCAAACAAGAGTCGGGTCAAGTAGACACTGAGACACAACTAATCAATTGAAGTTCTTGGGGACTTTTACTGATTCAACATCATGCAACATAGATTGCATGATTCTTAATCCTAAATACGGTAGATAAATGGGTGTTGTGAATGGAAAATTGGCACAATAACTGACACACTATGGCTTTTGCTCCACCTTGGCTCGAATCTTCTGCTCCAAAACTGATATTTCAGTCTCAAGGTTGAACATTCTATTCAAAGCATGCATGTTCTCAAGGGTTTCATTTAGAGTCCTGCTATCACTGCCATCACACCTCAAGTGTTGCATTGGTCCATGAAGCATCTTATTCACTATACCCCTGCTAAGATCATCCACTGCTCTTTGTGTCTTCTTGTTGATATCATCACCCATCTTACCTAGGCACTTTTCAAGCTCAGCCATCCTTATTCTCTCAGCATAGGCCCTCAACTTTTTAATGGTAGGAACAGTTTCCAATGAGTCCCTCCAAGCCTCAAATTGCTTAGATTCTTCACTAATGATTGCTTGAGCTTCCATGGCTTTTCTTAGCCTATCCTCTTTATTAGCTGCCACAACCTCCTTAAGGTCATCAACATTGAACACTCTCACAGACTCAAGATCCGAGACACATGAGCCAACATTCCGAGGAACTGATATATCAATGAAAAAGCGACGACCTCCAACTTCTTGAGTGGCAGGAGGAAGGTCCTTAACATCATCCTTCAAGAACAATGGGCTCTCTGATGCTGTGCTGGTGAAAACTACATCTGCCTCACCAATACATGTGAGCATTTCTGAGAGTGGTTTGTAGATTATCTCAACATCCTTCAGTTCTTCGCGGATTGCTCCAACTCTGTCCTCACTTCTATTGACAACCACCATCTTTGTGCATCCTTTTGCCACCAAATGCTTGATCACAAGCTTTCCCATTTTCCCTGCTCCAATGATCAACATCCTAGCATTTTCATGAGAGGCTTCAGGTAGCTTCATCAAGGCCAGTTCAACAGCTGCTGAACTGACAGAAACTGCACCAGCAGCAATGTTTGTCTCAGTTCTGACCCTCTTCCCTACAGTGATTGCATGCTTGAATAGCCCACTAATGTTCCTCCCAAAGCCATTCACTCCTTGTCCAACCTTGACAACTTGCTTCACCTGGGCAAGAATTTGACCTTCTCCCAACACAAGAGAATCCAGACCTGCAGATACTTCAAAAATGTGCTGTGTGGCATCTTTGTTGTAAAGCAGAAACTGATGCTGGCAAAGATCTGCAACTGGGATCCCACTTGTCTGCAAACAAGGACAGAACAAGAATTTTCAACATCAGTAAATGCACTATAAAAAACCAATGGGGATTAAAGGTTGGAGCAAAACCCTTAATATAACCCTTCACATTATATACACTAATCCTTTTACTCCTTAAATTTATTAAATCTTCATTCTAGGCTCTATTTCAACAAATTTCACAAAAAAAAAAAACTATGAGAAGTAATTAAGAAGTAAAAAAATTTCACTCAATTTAAAATCAACAACTTATGCATTTCAACTTTTATAAGAGTTCTCTTATTTAACTTATGCACAAGTTTACTTCAACTTTTATAGAAGCATAGTTTATTTTACTTTCTTATATTTTTATCTTATATGTGCATACTGTAAATCCATTCAATCATGATCTTAATAACTGACCTTAAAAAAATTCAGTCATGTATCATTAATGTTAGTGGAAAAGGAAGTGAAAAACAGAACAAACATAAATGAGATTTTCCATGTCGAGGGACTAAATTGAAGTTTAAATTAAGGACTAAACTGTTTGACAAACATGCAGTTCCATGGAATATAGTTGAGAGAAGACCTACTTTGGACATCCACTCGGTGACTTCTTTGACACCACGGTGCTTGGACAGAGCAACAACATATATCTCCATTCGGTTGCAGGTGCTCAGAACAGCTGCTTCTTCAATATGATTCAGACTACAAAGCTCTGCTATGGCTCTAGGCCATTCTGCTTCTGGTATGGCTAGCTTTTCACGCATTTCCACTGGTGTAGTATGCACACTCAGTCCAATAACCATAATGCTGCTCTTTTCCTTTGTATACCCTGTTCAAATTAATTGCATAAATCACTTCAGTTAATTGTATAAAATATTCAAAAATTGCTAGTTTCACATTATTATAGCCCACGAAAGCCGTGTGGATTGTTAAGCCCTTCTTAATTTTTTTCCTTAAAAAAAAAAAATCTTCTTTCTTTATTTACTTTGCTTTTAACCGAACCAATAGTTTATATTAATTTTTCGAAGAAGTAGAGTAATCATTAAGGGACAATTTCATTTTCCACATGTACTGCTTAATTGGACTAGTCAGGAATTGAACATGTCATATACTGACTCAATTCATTAGTCATTTTGTCACACACTTTATAGGTAAAAGATATGTTATTTATTTCATTCAAAAACTATAATTAATGTTGAAAACAAAATTCATTATTTTGGTCATTCCATCATCGTATTCAACTCCTAATGTCAAGCTGGAAAACAAACCAATGATAAATCAAACAACAAAGGAACAAATTGTAGTTTAGAATAATAATGTGGGGAAAGGGAAAAACATGACACCCTTACCCTACCGTTTAACGACATAATATAAACATGGTTTAATCTAAGCGAAAAAAGATTGTGTACTTTTATTCAGTTACACAGATTAACAATGGTAATTCGTGATTGAATGGTAGTGTAAAGTTGTTTTGAACAATCAAAATATTTGTATACTTTTATTCAATCACAAAACATTTTGTTTACTTTTATAACAGCATTCTTAAGAAAAACATATGACCATGATTTTGATAATGTGTAAATATGCATAGAACTTCAGGTTGAACACACAAATTTAACCGTTTAAAATATCGTGAAAATTGAGGTAATTAACGAAGAAGAGTTAGTTAGGTACTTACTATCAGCTGCAGAGGTCTTAAGCTGTTCAAGAGCAGAGATAGTGGAAGGTTTCTTAGGGGGATAAACTGAAACATCAGAAGCAGAAACCTCACACCGAATAGCCCCTCTATGAGTCTGAACAAGTGTGTTTCTGCTTTTGCCAAGAGGTGAAAAATGGGTGGTGGTGGAGGTGGTGGCATTAGAGGAAGCACATTTGAGCAACAAAGCCTCCAACTTTGCACCGGAGAAGCTGGTTGAGACGGCCATTGGAAACTGAAGGGGAACTGTGAATGTGTAGAAAAAAATGAAGTCCCAGGGAGAAGTTAGATGGAGTTAGTTGGTGCTGAAGCTAAAAAGTCTTTTCTTTTGTGCGTTATGGTTTTGGGTCTGGCCTATGTGGAAATGATACATGCGATGTGGAAGAAGGAAAAGGATTTGAAAGGATTTGAAAGAGTGATTCTCTGAGTTCTGATTGGCTGATGCAACACACGTTTTATCCACACTCCCTCCTAATCTCACCCTCTCACACCTCTTTTCCTTTCTTCCCATTGTTCTATTGGCTTATTTGGATTTTTAGTTTCTCTTGATCTTTAGGTTTAATGGGGTGCTTCAAGTTGTCTCCTTTTTCAACCTTGTCAGCACAGTCATTAAGTTAACAAAGAGGGTTAGCAACACAGTCTTTATTAATTATACTTTTTAATACATAAGACACTTATGGTTTGCATTTTGTTGAGTTAATATTGCCACAGTATTTTGAACACCTTTTAAATCATTGTTATGATTCAAATATTTTATGTATTTTAGCTTGTTCACGATGTTTTCTCACTCTTCTTGTAGTGAAACAACTTATTTATACATGGAAAAGAAATTGAGAGACTAATTTGAACCATATATAAGGTCTAAAACCTGTCTGAAAGATTAAAAATGAAATTAAACCTATTTTATTTGAATCTTTTGTGACCCATTCTCCTCGTGAAAATCAAGGGTTGTGGTCTTTTAATCTGCGTAAAGCGGTGAAAAATGTTATTTCATGTGGTTTGGTTTTTCTTTTTTAATTGAGATTGACGTGAAATGAAAATAACATGTTACATGCATTCTTGATTTGAGGAAATTAAAAAGTTTGATCTTGGTGGTGTTTATGGTTAAATGTAATAATTGTGCATGAGTTATGGAGAGGGTAAGGGAATAATATTATGAAGAATGAATGGGAAAATGTGAGAAGAGATAAGGAAAAAAGTGATATGTGGTAGGAATTGGTTCCTTAGATTTCAGGCTTGTGTTTGCCACAACTTTGGTGGGAAATTGGTGGACAGTAATATTCTTTCTTTTGTTTTTAATTCAGGATTTCAATGCAACGTGACAATATGCAATTTTAATCTTTTTGAAATTGTAATGTTACATCTAATCTTTTAGTTATTTAAAATTAAGCCATTCTGTTTTATAGATAATATATAATATAATTTCTAACAAAATATATTTCATTTCAGTACAAATTAGTTGTGTTAATTATTTATTCACTTAATACAATAAGATTTAATAACAAGTTTTAATGGATGTTATTTAATATATGATAGCTACAATTGTGATTTTTGTTAACAATTCGAAGTTATAATAAAAGTGGACCAAAGTTATTTAATTTTGAAGAATTAGAGAAGTAAAAATATAATTAAAATTTTATATGACCAAAATGGTATATTCCTAATATTAAAGGATAAAAAATGAATTAAAAAAATTAGAACAATACTTAATGCTATTATACTTGTTATGTTGGTTTTATATATTTTTTAAAATTATTTGTTATGCATGTTGGACAACTCGGTAATTTTTTTTAATATTGATTTATTATTTATAAATATATCATTAGTGAGAATTTTATTCAATTGAAAAATTAACCATTTTTAGTGGTTTCTTCTTAATTTTGTTGTTTCATTCTTTTTCAGGACTGGAATTAAAATTTTGACGTAAAAATATAAACACGGATTTTCTCAAATTAATGAGTGACTGGTGATTGTTATGACTAAGTGTTTATATTTTTTTATATCCTTCAAATTAATATTATGTAATTAAAACATATAGACATATATAGATAAATACTTTTGTAAATTATTCCAGAAGTTTTATTATCCATTTAAGAGTTAAAGGTTAAAGGTTTTTTTATTTATTTATTATTTACATTTACCTTGAACTAAAAGAAGGCATTGAAAAAATTATCGTGGATAAACGTTTAATCAAATACCACTTCTCTTGGATCTTATAAAAAAATAATTCTTTTAGTTTTGATATTTTTTATTATATATAAATGCCAAACCAAATCATTTTCTTTTGTTTATAATTTTTTAAAATATAAAATCATTTTTTATTGATATCAATATTCAGTTTTTTGAAAGTAATAAAAAATTAATTAGATTTTAAAATTATATTTTAATGGACATTAATTATACTTTTTTAGGAAAACGTTAATTAAATGTTAGTTGTTATGGCAATTGGTGATACGACAAACCATGAAAAATAAGTTTATTCTGGTAACAATTAAAACAATTAAGTTTGAACAAATTATTACTGTTATTATATTTTGACAACAGGTTCACTATTGAATTAATTTGAAGAAAAAAATCATTGTAAAATTAGTTGAACTAATATTAAATTAAGATAAATCTCTTTTTATTGTATGATAAATTATGTCAGCTATTAATAGGTAAATTGGGCAGGCAAGGGTTTTTAAGCCGGCCCAACTAATTTGGCCCATTATAACTCGTCAATTGGGCTTATGCAGGCTGTTGTGTCTTAACAACTTTCCTTTGAAATAGTAAGAGTCTGAAACTGCAAGCCCAACACCAGCCCATGGGAAATTACGAATGAAAATAAATCTCCATACGAGAGTTACAAGCAAAAAGAAGAAGCATGAATTGAGATTATTGTTTTTATTGCTTCAATTAACATGTTAATGACAAGGATAGAAGAAATAATAAAAACATTGAAAAAAAATTCTAGTATATTTTCCATGCTCCAATACACATAATTTTATTTTAATTAATTCATATAAGCTTAATTACGATTAATAATTATTAATAAAATTAATTTTTATTAAAGACTTAACTATATGTTTTCACAAAATATCAGAAGATTTTACTTTTCGCACACGTTATATTTAAGTTGAATCCACCACTGAGACTTAAACAGAAATCACAACAATTCATTTAATAAAATTTGATGAGTTATATTCTTGACTTTCAGTTTTCTTAATGTCTCTTTCTCTTTCAACATTTCAATTAATACATATAAAAAATTTATAGGTTTCTAGGTTTTTCAACACTACATGTCCCAAATTTTCATTTTAATCAAAGAGTAAATTATTTAATTAGTTGTCGAAATATAATTCACTTTGACCAATAAAAAAAAATAACAAAATTTGACTAAAACCCTTAACAAAATAGAATAAAGTAATGAAATAGAAAATGGCTTCAATCATTGATGTCATGGTAGCATACCCCAGTCACTATATGATCAAATAGTGTTAGTAAATAAATAAATAAATAAACAAAAAAGAAGGATTGGGAGTGAATATAGTTGTTGTGTCCATTAAAATGAGACCAACTTGTATAACCCATAAAAATAGTGAGTGGAGTTTTCTGATTAGCAGCTTTCACTAAAGCCCATTATGATTTCACAGAGAAAGATGGACCAAGTGGAGTTGGTCCATAGATTACACGACTAAAAAGACATTAACCACGATTAAAATTTTCATTATTTAATAAATATTTTGAAACAAATTTATGTTAAATTTACAATGTGTGGCCTATGGTTATTGTAGCCACTAAGACTATGAACGCAGAGACGTAATTAAGAAAGGCTAAGAAATGTTATAGGTTACGTATAATGCTATATATCTTGGCTTCTAAGACACAAAGTTGGACTAGTTGATAATTGGTCTTAATGACCATATATACCAATGTATAAGCTTCCGTATTTCTCATTGCCAGAATCAACACTCATGTGCCACACAACTCAGTCCAAATACATTCAAAGTGCTTCACTTTGTGTTGCATATGAAATCAAACTCTTCAAAAAAAACATAATTGATCTTCTTGACTCTCTATTACCATTCAAACTTGAGTTGTGGATAATCTTGTTGCACCAGTGGGAAGTTGGTAGCATGACAGAGGCAATGCTTCCGTATCATGAAGATATTGTGCCACTATGTTATCTGCATAAAGTATTTACCCATTTTATTGATATTTATTTTTGTATGAGAATATTAAGCAGTTTTAGTGGAGTTTTTGCAATGGAAAAGGTTTGAAGCTGAGATTTTGTTTTGTTTATGATGAAAATATTGCTCGGGTGGTTTGAATGATGCTTTTTTGTTTGACAGAAAGGTTTTGTATGATGCTAAAACACAAGAGGACAAGACCCAAATGCCAATTTCATGTCATAGTCTTGACTAGCTAGGGTGATTCAATTGAATGTTATCCGTGTGAGTTGTCAGAATGTCACTATATATGCTGGTTAGCGTTTTTGAACATATAAGCATTACCAGTTTGACTGTGAAGCTCCAAAGGTTTGAAGTGAATTGCTGAGGGAAATTTCCACACTGGTCTGGTCTTTGCAAACCCCACTTGCTAAAGAGAAAGATATAGCTGGCCTATACCTATCTTTTTCTGTTAATATCTTGTCTCTTTTTGGGTTTGGACATGAGTTTGTGTTTAGTATCTTTGCATTACATTCATTGGTGTTTACAAGCTTTTTTTAGGATTTCTTTTTCCTCTTCCCCCACTAATGTTAATTAGTCGATCGACCATTCAATATGAATTGAATCATGAGTTCGTGTTTTCCTCTTTTTGCTTGGAAAGGTGGCCATTTTATACATCAAAGCCAGGTAGTCAACCACAACAACAATTGGAAATAGGTCAAATGCCAATTATAGGGTACAAGGTACGCAAATTTCAAACACTCCACTAATAATAACATGTTGTGGAGGAGCAAGTGTGAACATAAATTGGCATGCCATCTTCTCTTTTCTTTGCTTTTACTTCAATTAAAACAAGCTCTACTTCCATACACACAAGATAATCATCATCATATGTATGTCTTAAACCCCATATTCATTTTCATATCCTGATCCACGTGCTTTGCACGAAGTCAGTGTACCCTAGTTGTCAATCATTTTCTTGATAAACTATACCTACCATGTCCCTCTCTTTTTCCCTTCTTTCAGTCTACCCTATAGTGCTACACTCATCTACCTATTTTTCTGTCACCATCGCTTCCTG